CGCCATGGCAACGTAACGACGCCATTTGGTTTTTTATTTATCTTTGTGTTTCTCTGCACCAGGAGTTTTTTTAAGAAATCGCTTAAGGGAGTTTGTACCTGCCATAATTGCCTCAATTATTGCAAAGTTTGAACAAATTCTATGGGAGCGTTTTCGAAATATTTTGAAACGAAGTTTTAAGCATCATATAAACGGTGAAGTAGCATGCTATCCACACAATAAGCTAATTTTTAAAGAAAACGATAAGCTTTGGAAACGCGGCTTCATCTCATAGTGGTTTGATTCCATTGAAAACTGCGTACAAAAACAGAGGGGAATTGCTCTGGGCGATCGCTAGTAGAAGAATTCTATTAACTTGCATTCAGCTGCTTTTGTTACAGTTTTTGCACGTAATTTGGTCCACGCCTACAAATTTCGCATTTTCCAAAAAACCGCTCGATAAATTTTTTTATAAATTGGAAAATCCCGAGATCAATTGTCAATAAATATACCCTGCGAGTTTCAAGAACATTGAGAACAGGGAAGGCTTTTAACTTAGGGCCTCAAATATAACCAATTTTTCCCCCAGATTTTGTGTTTACAAGCAAGCGTCCACATTATTCAACTGACAGTTTTATAATAATACACTTGTGGAAACCTTTTTTCCATATCTTTACTCATGGCGACGTAGTTAACGCTCAGACTTGGGAGGTATCCCCCCCAAAAAAACTCCAGTCGAGCCACCTTAAGTATACGGCAAACGTCAGATTCAAGTTGATAACTTTTAAAATAGAAAATGAGCAGATAAAAACAGCTCAAAACTATTCTTATCACACACTACTTTCGAAATAGAGAATGCCAATTTCCATCACTACCATCAATCAGTTCCGGACTGCTTCTCTTATTGTCCTTTGTGGCTTGTGACCGATGTGGCTACAGACCGGTTTAGAATCAGAAAGAGGAATACATTGAAAATTCCATTTATAGAGGGGAGTGTAGGTTTTGAAGGTATTTTGATGTAGGGGTGCTATGTGTGCAGCGCCGTAGCAAGGTCAGAGTTATTGGGGGGTCCAATCGCGAGCGCCGACGGTGCGAGCTGCTAGATGTTCCGAGGGCATGCTCCCCCGGAAGATTTTGATCTATAGGGTCTCTGAAATAGCATTTTCAGCCTTCGGAGAGCATTAATTTCCAGCAATTTTTCTTTGTTGAACCCATAAACAAATAATTTTGACGCTTTATCGAACCGAAATGAGCACATTGAACCGAAGAGCAGCGTGGAGAGCGTGGCCGCTAACCAAATTAAACGTGTGGGGCCAGGCCCCCTCGCCCCTCCCCATGCTACGGCACTGGTATGGTAGCCATATATCTGTCCTTGTCCATTGTAATGAAGTCTAAACTAAGTGTAATATAGTTCCGAATGTTTTTTTAATCACAGATACCTTATACTAGCGAAACAGATGACATCTTAACATAAAATATCATGTGACTTTGTTGTTGCCGCGCTTTTGATTTACAGAAACGCTGTAACAGCCACCTTGAACTTTATTTAGTATTTACATTGTTAGCGTTGACTGTTCAGACAGATTGGTATAGCAATCTCAGAATAAGATATATAAATACTGTACACTGTTGCTTACATACTTTTGTACATAAGCGGACCCACTATAGCATTATAGATAAGAAGTGTCCCAAGTTCCCCGTTTGAAGAAGGGGGCCGGTTACTTCAAATAAGCCTAACTTAGACCGCGGTTTGAAGCAACAAATGGACCTCCGGATACAAAGAAATTATAGTAAGTAAATTTACAGCCTGTACTATATGCCTTTTTAACTTGCTCCACAGTCAAGCAACTCCCCTTAATGCAGACACCTTAGTGTCCCTAACTAGGACTTTACAATTCCACAAAGGCGACGTCCATGAAAACGTCGTTGAAAAATAGACTTCGCTTCCTTTCAAACTTTTTCGCGATTATTCCACTTCATCCTGCTACTTAAAATGAGGGAACTTGGGTTGAAGCTGAAGAGAGGGGACCGCGCCCGATTTCAGACAGACATGGTAGAATTTATCGCCTTGCCGTTCCCATTCTCAAGTAAAATTAAAATTTGGTCATTTCACGTCATAGTTGTGTAGGGACAGTAAAGAAATGTACAAAAAAGCGCGATGCACGTGCAGAGTTGTTGTTTTGCTGAAATTCTAATGTTTTTCAGTTCGACGTTCCTGTTGCCGTCGTAGTTTCGTAAGGTCACTATTGTCCCTACTTACGGACTTAGCACAAAAGGCGTGAATCCAACCAACAAGACAACAAATTTGATAAACACTGATGTAACTTGTAAAATATATCTCAATTGTAATACCTAAAATAAAATAGAGCTCACTGTCCGTTACAAGAGGAGTCAAAGAAATAAAACTGTGATGTCGAGTTGGTATTAAAAAGAGATTATTTCAGTCAAAAATTCAATGAAAATGGCGTACAACGCTCGTTTGTTTAATACCGGCTTAACTCCGCTCTCATGATACGCTGCTAGCAGAGTCGCTTCGGTCTTTCCTAGATAAGTCGGGAAAGAGGAAGCGACTCTTCCCACATCTTCAAGTTCCTTTGATCTACTGATCATCCAGCTTTTTGGGTGAGTCAGACAAGTTTTATACTGGATAAACCAGTTTTATCTGTGCACGCACGCATATTCTGGAATTTTGCTGACTCTTTCTGAGCCCACGCTCCATAAAAAAACAAATAGCTACCGCTTCAATTTCATGCGGGAATTTTGAGAAAATTATAGATTGAACATTCAGTTTTAGAAAATTGGAAAATGTACCCAGATTCGAGATGGATTTTGTTTTGGATTTAACCATGTACTTAGCCGATTTTATTGCGTGAACGGATTCACAATACAGTAAGTGTTACGCGAAGTTTTTGGAAGGATAAACAAATGGGTTTTAAATAAAAATAATAATATTTAAGAAACAATATCTATGCTTATTCTTCTGTGTTCGCGATAACATTAATTCAAAATAAGATCATGACCAGGGACCGCGCAGCAAGTTTTCGAGTGGGGGTCTAAAGAAGAATGCGTGAAGGAAAAATTTGGGGGGGGGGGGGNTAATTACTATAAATAAGCCAAAAATCCAACGATTTTGCTTGAGCTGCCTTGAACTCAAGGCTGTATAATTACTGAGCAATTATTGCACGAGGCTGAGTATGATATGAAGAGTTATGCAGATCGAGGGGGTTATCCGCCAAAGCCGAAGGCTTGAGCCCGGTGGATAACACCCTCCGAGATCTGTATATCTTCATATCATACGAAAGCCGAGTTCCATAATTGTTTAATTATTCACTCAAAATATTTACACGGCGAAACAAAACGGTAACTAAAAATAGTTTAGTTAATGATATTAAAGTTACTGTACATCATTTACTCGAAAAGTGCCAAAATTACGCTTTCTGTTTGTGTTGCGGTCGGTAAATTCGTTTGCTATGTCAATGGTGGAAAACCTGTCCGTTCTTTCTTTGTGTATGTTTAAAACTGTCAGGTTACTAAATCGTTCCTGGTTCATTCTTGAACGGAGCCATGTTTTTAGCCTCCGGGTAGTCGAAAAGGATCTTTCACCGGCTGCACTGGTTGCTGGATTTACGACAATCAGCTTACATAACGTGATAACTTCTTTTATCATTTCCCGTTCTGGGTTGGGCAGCTCGTTAATTTTTACTATGATGTCGTCAAAACAAAAATAATCACCATCCTTCAGCAGCACTTGCAAAATTTCCATCTGGGCGGTTAACACTGAAATATTAACATCATCGTTGTACAGTTTTTCCAGGAAAAAGAGGCCATTTAAAAGACGTTTACCTCTGCTAGGTTAGAATCGAAAAAATATTTTACAATTGTAACGACTTATGCTTCATTCTGTCTATTTATCTGCGCGTTTGTCTTTGCCAGTAACTGTGGTCACTTTCGAATTAACGATTTTTTGCTATTTTTCACTCCGTTACTTTTGTTAAATTATTTTTTGTTTAATTTATTTTTATTCTTGCAAAAAAGTGGGGGGGCTAAAGCCCCCCCAGCCCCTCCCTCTGCGCGGTCCCTGGTCATGAGGCTACAGAATCCATATTGCATTTAAATGATCGATGCTTTTACAGCTGTTTGTGGATAACACCCGACTTGCGATGCCAAAAACGTCTTTGGATTTTGTGTTTTTCTACGACGTCAATCAAAATCTGAAGAAGCGGGGCTTTCTTCGCTTTCTCGCCTTTTATACATCTTAGCGAACCTCTTAGAAAACAAAAGGTCGTCTCTCGTGATTTGTGATTGGTGGATTTCGATCCGTTTTGTGTGTTTCTGTGTTTCAAGGTTAGATGCTTTGTTTTTGAAAAGCACCGTAAGTTTTACCTTAGCTCTAAGATTTTTTTTATCTTCTTTACACTGAAACATGGCAAGTTTAGATTCCAAAGGTGAAATTGTTCCTATAGAGCTTCCATGCAAATCCAGAGGAAACACAGCTACAGAAGGGTGAAAGCGAACCGGTACGTTCCCGCTGACATTTACATTTGCTGACAAACACAGTGGATGCCACGGTAACGGTTTGATTGACGTCGCAGAAAAATTTGAATGTGGAGCATGCTCAATATGAATTTTTGAGGATGTCGGCAGAGGTTCCTTCCTCTTCCCGACTAATCTAGGAAGATCGAAGGAGACTTTGTTCGCAGGGTACTCTCATGAATAACCGGCTAAGGTTTTTTATCATATGAAACGATTAGCTGGCCAGACTGGCCCCTTTGTATCTAGAATTTATATCCTAATTTTGTTCGAAAGAGCGGATCAAGATGTGCAGAGTTGCCATTTGACCGCTCTGTTACAGTCGGGGTTCAACGAAGAGTAGTACCCCTTTAAGACTTAGTAGCCCATGAAACGGCGGTCACACAACACTCGTAAAGCCAACTAAAAAATCGATCTATAATGGTTAATGAAGAATGTTAAATAACAGTGCAAGAGACAGTTTTGTGGAATAAATAAAGCTTGATATAATATCAGGATTGCAAAAAGTCCGAACTTATTTCAGTCCCAGCTTCGTCAGAGACCTCGCGGCTAACGTTGAAGGACACATTTTCTTCACCTTTCTTTGGAGATGCATCTTCAGCCTGATCTAAATTCTTATCCTCCATATGACTTGGCGTGGTTACCAATGTATCCATGGTAACTGCACTGAAAGGACGATTTGCCAGTGGTGCCTCCGAAGCGCCTAACAAACAGTTAGAGTCGCTGGCCACACTTGAGCCCACAGTAAGCGGATCATCAGAACTCGAGACTCGACTATTTTCTTCACTTTCACACGTATAACTGCTCAGCCCACCAAGAATGAGAGACAACGCCTGCCGAGTGTCCTCGTTATTAATAATGGGCTCCAGTACTTTTTCAACATCTGCCTCACCTTCACCAAAGCCGTCATCGCTGTTACTTTCACCTTCACTGCTGTTTGCTGTAACTTGATTGGTCGATGGCTTACACCCGTCTAGGTTACTACAGTCGTTCCCCGCCTGATCCCCTGTTATATCACCAAGCTGGACACGGGAAGCTTCACTGTCGTCTATCTCACCCACACTGTCACTATCGCTCTCCTAGCTGGTGCTGTCCAGGTAGCCTGGTATGTGTCTTGAGGGGGAGGGGAGGGGAGAATCCATGACTTCCGCTCCGTAAAAAATGTAACGGCTTGGAGGCATGAAGAGAAATCGAGGTGAATCTAGAATCCACAGAAAAAGTAAGTTCTTTATTAAGAATTCGGTGTCTGTTTCCACAGTTTTTCACCTTCTTTACAACGAAAGAATTTTCCGTTAGCGTTAAAACATTAACCAATTAGGTCTATAACCACAATCTGTTACTCTGGACTGACTGCTCTTCTCTAATTTCACTTTATGGACCAGTATACGAATTTCCCTTGAAAACGATCTATTGCGGCAGATCTAATGCTGGTAGTCTGCAAGAATTTTATATCGACGATGATGACAATTATTTTAATTTCGGACACTGAAAGGCAAGAATTAAGACTACAATTAAGATGAAACGAATGTAACCAGAAAATTGACCCAGAAAAAATCATACACGCGTATAATGATTATCTGTTTTACTTCTGACAGGTTCAGTGAAAATTGGGAGATTTTATCCCATCACGAGTCATAGTAACTCAAATTACTCTTAATTGCAATTTATATGTATTTTTTATCAGATGTGACACTACTAAATTTGCAAATTTACCAACATGTCAGCAGCTCGATCATACCTTCTTCATGCGGTGTGCTGTTGTCGAAGGAACATTCATTTCCGTGATCACTGGCCGAGGCTCTCGGCTGGTCCCGATAAGAGTCGTCTCCAGTCTCTTCATACCCACCGCTCTCACCCACAGTCACGTGATTGTCCGTCGTGTTTGGTGTGACATCTTCACTCCTCTGCTTCACGTTGCTTGATGGACTCTTCTCGTTGTTCGTTCCACCTGCAGTCGTCTTAAAAGGAAAAGGGTGCATTATGACCTCACAGTCAGTATTATAAGATTTTTACGCATTTGCTGTACACTACAGATCTCAAATTCAAGATGCTGGAACTTTCAAACAGCGTACGTAAGCTCGGTCGCACTCAGCATGTACCTGTTCACTGCGTTGTATTTCTTCAAAATTGACCCCTTAAAGCATCTCTCCCGTCGTGTTTTCTTCATTACGCGACAAAGGCCTCCTTTCCACGTCAGGAATTTCAACTCCTTCCAGTAGATTATTCCATGCTCCACTCAGCCTTTGGCACAACTCAGTAATGATGACGTCACAGTCACCTAGCAACTCAACATCAAATGTCATATGCCTGAGAGGTTCGCTGTTGATAAGAATCTGAGGCACCTCTGGAGGTAGGTGACCTGTGGTGAACCAAAAAATGGTTCCTTTTAACCTCTGTCGGACCCCCCCCCCCCCCCCATTAAAATA